CACACACACACACACACACACACACACACACACACACACACACACACAAAGCCCAAGGGACTCATATATTAAAAAGTGCATAGGATTCATGCAAATGTGCACAAAAGCTGTTAATGGTGTAGACAAAAAAGGTTTCCGATTTATAAAATTGTGCGCATGCACACCTGAAGGCAATGTTACCTTTACAAATCACAATTCACCCAGAAACCTGCGGGATAGATCTGCCTCATATTCCGCCTCTCATAAATGGTCAATGCAAAGCACCTTCTGAGGATTACATGACAGCAGCCAGGCAAGCTATGGGGTTCTAGGGTGAATCACGGCAGTGAGCAATGAGAACTTTTTTACACAGAAATCAAGGTGAGGTAAAGAAAGACAGATTGTTTGGTGGCCACAGCAGTGATATCACTAATAAAAGAAAATGCACTCAGTGGCAACATGATGTCTCTGAATTATGCTCTGTGTATGTACTATAGATTGAATAAATCCTGATAGGGAGGTGATAGTCAGCAAACCTTGAACCACTTTCTCTCCCTTCCGTACCTTCTGCTCCTGCTCCAGCCGGGCCTCCTCCTTGACATGCTGCAGGGTGGTGTTGACGGCTTTCTCCAGGGCTTTCTGGTCCTCCAGCTTCTGCTGCACCAGTGCTGCATCAATGTGGATCTGCTCTCTGACTCTCTGTTCTGCCAGCTCTCGATTCAGCTGATCAATGCGACGGTGTGCATGGGCAATGAGGGCATTCAAGTCGTCTGATGACAGTTTCCCAGCTAACACACAAAGACAAAACATTCTTTTGCAAATATGTCTTTTCTGGTGTACAATCCACGTGCCCCATCCTACCAGTATAGCATATGCACTATTTACTAACAGTGCATCATTTTGATGCTAAAGACAGTGATGGTAACTGATAGTCACCGCAGCCTGCAGTATGTAATGTCCTTCAAGCGGGGCAGCAGCCAGTCACTCCACACCAATGGTGCAGCCGTAATGGTACATCAGTGTCTGACTGTCCACATCTTCAAGGGCAGACAGACGCTCACTAAATTCCGAAATTCCTACAATAGTACAGAGAATGAATGCAACACTCCATGTAGCCTGCAATGCATTTTACGACGCTCTGCAAATGCATCGTATCCCCGGCACAAATCCCGGGTCTGATGACAGGGCTGGGCCACTGGACTGGACTTGCTCTGCCCACGGAGGTGATGGGTTTTGCCAGAGACCTGTTCACTGTTGCAACAGAAGGGGACTTATCCACCAGAGCAAAGTAAGGGGTGCTCCCTTCATCGACAAGGGGAAATGACATGCAATCATCCGTTACCATGGCACAGGAGCTTTGGACTGATGTCAATGTACACCAGTTCACTAATGTTAAGAAGGTAGCAATCACAGTGCTCAGTATGTTTGGAGCAACATGGGAATCAAGCTCTTTACACATGAATTCAATAAAAAGAAGGTGTGGTTGCTCCCTGACTGACAGCACTCTTCACTGATGCCTTCGGATTGCGTTGACATCTTACGACTCAAAAGTCACTGCTCTTCAGAACAAAAAATGTCACTTCTCCGACTAAAAAACTCAGCAGAGTAACTGTAGTCTACATATCTACACAATGTGGGATGTGTTGCAAAGCTATGCCTGATCAGTAGTAGAACTGTATTCATGTGTGTTAGTTACTGTTGTCACTTGTTATGGGTTTGTGCCCTGATGTGTGCTTTTATAGCATTGATAGTTCTTATTTATTCTATTAAATGCAATTTGTGATGTGCCTGGGTATATGACCAAAATATGTATTTGGATTTTAAAATGGAAACAAGTAATTGCTAATACTGAGCACTGTTTTGTTTTTTTATGCACTTTGACTTGTGCCGAGGTCAGATATGATAAAAAAAAAATGTATTTCAAAAGTGTTATAAAGTATTAATACCACCTCAGATTCTGTTCAGCTATAGAATTTTTAATGCACTTTTTGAAGTGCCTGTGACCAAATTTTAAAGGGAAACAAAGAATGAACTTGTTTTTCAATAGATTCAGTTGTATTGGTTTAAAATTTGTCATTACCTGCTGCTTACTGGCTGCTGAATATGTCTGGCCCACCCTAATTTCTTGATTTGAAAATCTGGCCCATCTGAATTTGTAATTGAATAGCCCTGTTATATGTGCTAAAAGTCATAGAATGTTGTGGCCCAAGCGCATGTACTAGGTTATCTTTATTTCTTTTCTAAATTGCTGTAACATTTTTCATTTCATTTTTGATATGCCATGGTCTATACTTTGTTTTTGCATTCATGGTACCCTTTTTAAATGTTACATTTTATTTTATAGTAAAGTAATTTCCCCTATTGTGAAACAAAATTTCATCGTTGTTTCCTTGGTCTCAGTTTTGTTTTGTGAATTGTGGCATGGTTTGTAGAATCTGCCAGGCTGCAGCTGGCTATACTTGTAAGAGGCACTCTCTTATAACTTGTGAGTTTTTGTGTTCAAAACTTCTGACATAAATATAATGCCATACAGCAGTTGCTACAACTGCAGCTTGAAGCAAACACAAATTCTAGATCCTCTTTTGTTCCTGAATTTATATGATGAAAAGTGTAATCTGTATGGTATTTCCTAAATATATTAAAAGCTTAGGTGGACAGTCCCAAAATAAAAGGTGTGTATGGTCTTACTGAGTCCCTTCCAGTTGGCCTGGATCTCTGGAGTAAGGCTGCTCACTTCCCTCTGAAACTGATGTTTGGCTTCATTAACCAGTTCACTGTACTGGGAGACAATCTTGGCTTCTGACTCAGCAGACTGCACCTGCAAACACGTACACACAGACTCTATGTATTTAATGCTTATTAGAGAATAAACCCATTTACAAAATTGTTATTACCCATACAAGTGTTTTCATCTGCTTGTTCATAATGTCCAAAAAGTGATTACCTTAGTGACCACCTTATCCAAGTCCACCACCATTTTATGGAGATTCTCCTCTGCTGCTAAAACCAGTGGGCGAACAGCAGTGACCTTCAGTCCTTTAGACTTATCAATCACTGACTTGAGACTGTCCAAGGCTTCACTATAAGGAGAGAGATATGGGAAGGTTGGGGGAAGGAAGAGGAGGGTTTGAGAAGCAAATGTGTAAGATCCAATAATGACTCAGAACAATGATGTTGCCAAAAGAAATGTAATCTTGGCTTCATTGAGGGACCAATATACTCAAGTAATTCAATTCAATTTTACCTGTATAGTGCCAAATCATAATATAAATTATCTCAAGGCACTTTACATAGAAGGTCAATACCTTAAAATCGTATTAATATAGAGAAACCTAACAGTTCCCACAATGAGCAGCACTTTGGCAACTGTGTAGGAAAAACTCCCTCATTAACAGAGAGAAACCTCTAGAACCGGACTCAATGTGGGCGGTCATCTGCCTCGACAGGTTGGGGTGATTATTTGTGAAGCCAGAGGGGCTGGTTGGGATGGGGGAGGAAAGTAAATCTTAACTTCCACCCACTCTGCACCAACACCAATGTGCCTATAGATCCAGGTGATCAACAGAAGACAACATAAAAACTGCTCTAAAAGCTGCAGACTCTTGAGCACCACGGAACATACATGAGGATGTTAGTGTATTTCAGATCTACGTTGTTTTATTGCCTGACTCGATGTCTCCCTCATTCCTGACACACAATTTGATGTCATCCATGTAGATGAAACCATCGGTTATACCACTGTTATCTCTAGCCACGGTTTCTGATGATCTTGCTGGGGGGGTTTCAGGGATATGCAGAGCAGCAGTGACAGAGCATCTTCTTAGTATCCTATTAGTATCCTTATTAGAGTCCTATTGAGTTGTTGATGAAGGCTCTTAGTGTCCTGTTAATAATGTACAGTATCCGTGTGTGGCATAGAGCCCTTGGCTTTCTTGTAGTCATTCCAGGCAGTGCACTTTTTAGACTGTCTAATCTTACAGTCTCAAGTGACTGCTCTGTCCACCAATAGCTGGTGCTTGGCTCCTATGGCGTTACAACCAATTCCTATCTGAGCCCCAGTAATATATTGAGCCAAGTCCCTACTCATCTTTGCCGCTTTGATGCCTTACAGGAGCTTGGATGTTTTGGAGAGGCAGGTTGTTGGCCAGTAGTTGGAAGGAATAGCTCCCTTCTGGGGATCCCTCGTGATCAGGATTGGCTTAGTTAGTTTAGTTTAGTTAGTTTAACCACTCTGAGTGGGTCCCATCCATTAGCAGCTGGTTCATTTGTGCTGTACATATTTGTTAACACTGTATATAGTATTTTTTATTCCATTTATATTTTGTATATCTCCTTACAAGGGCATGTTACTAATTATTACTTTACTGATTTATTTTTGCCTACCCTCTTGATGCTGCAAATGTCCCCACTGAAAAAGGATTATCTTATCTTATGTTATCTTATCTTGAATCCTAGCTCATGTGAAAAATAAAAACCCCTCAGTAACATCAGAAGATATTAGCACAGCCTGACACCTTTTTATATCTATGTGCATGCATGTGTACACATGTTTAGATATTTCTTACTTGGCTTTCAACAGAGCAGTTCCAGCATCATTCATAGCACAAGTTCTATCAGCAAGAGCAGCTTCTAGATCCTTCCACTGGGCTGACTTCTCCTGAGGTGGAACCTGGATTTAAAGAGAACTGTAATCACTCAATCAACTCAAGCAAAACAGAAGGTAATCTCCATATTACACTTTTCACGTTTTCTATTTCCTTCTGTGTGTCACAGTGTTCCAGTTCTGATATGTTTCACAGGCCAAAGTATGTCTGTGCCTCAGAATACTCTACTCCTAAACAGCCTCAAATGTCACTTTTGCATTCCTACCTTGTTTTCTATTTCAATGCATGACATGTGACAGATTAGTTTGAGGAGGTTTAATGTAGGCTAGTAGTAGGCAAGTCTTTTTCATTTTTAGATATTTGAATTCTTTTAGTTTTTGTTTCCAGTTTTGCGTTGGTTGTAGGGCTGCACGATATATTGAAAAATATTTTGTCAACGCAAAAGCAACGTGCACGATAGACGTATAAATTAAATTATGATCCGTGAGCCAAGCATTCACACTCTGCATTTCAATATATTTGGCCGATCAGATGGAGCCCTGCTGCCCTAGATGATAAATGAAAGACATTCAGATCATTGACGGTTTTTCGTCAGTGAATCATTGTCAGAAGAAGAGAATAGAGAGAAAACAACGAATTTGAAAAGGTCAGACAGAGCTGCGTCACTCCATCAAATCTCGCTCCGCCTCCTCCGACTAAATTCTACTGTGGAAACTTCTAGTGATCATGTTTGTCCCGAGTCAGATTCATTAATATGAGCAGTTGATTATATAAAAGAATTATAAAGCTTATTTATGATTCAAGAACCTGAGGGAAGTAACAGCGCTCGCTCACTCACTCACTCACTCACTCACTCACTCACTCACTCACACACTCACACACTCACACACTCACACACTCAGGGTAAAAACAACAGACTTTATAAACTAAGTAAATGTATGTATAAATGGAGGAGATGTCGATGCGCTTCATTTGGTTTGACGCAGTTGACATAGCACACAGCTCAAATGATAGAGACACAGAGGAGCAGTAAATAACAGACAGAGCCGCGTAAAACTGTAAAAAAAGAACATTTCACTGTCAAAACATGTATGAAAAGACCCAAAATTAACACTGTAAGTGGACTTAGTGGAGCTGTGCACGGCTCCCTGGTGTCTGCACCAGACTTAGTGGCGCTGCTGCCGGGCTGTGAGCCCTCTCCAGGCTATGGAACTGTCCGTCTGTCACTGCGTCAGTAACCAGAGACTGTTTTTTTATCGCAAGTCACATTGTCATCATGATATCAAACAATGTTATCACATATTGCATGTTTTCCCAATATCGTGCAGCCCTAGTTGGTCGTTTGTAAGAAACGTCATTAACTTGCTCACAGTGAATTCATCAGATAATCTGTGGTGTTTTTACACCACTGTTTACACAAATGGTACTTTTACAATTACCTCTGCTTCCATAGCCTCCTTCAGTTTGTGTGTGTGCTGTGAGATGGTCTGCAGCGCTGCCTCCTGAGCTCCAATGGCCTGCAGGGTTGCTTTAGCTGAGCTAGCCAGTGAGTCTTCGAGACTAGCTGATACAGCTGCAAGACAGATAGGCAGTCAGAGAGACAGATGGGTAGGTCGAGAGAAAGACAGGAAGATACAGTTCAAACTACATCATCCAAAATTAGCATACAGTCAAACTGCTTTGGTAACTACAATTACCAGACTGCAGTTGTATGTCACTGCTAGCCAGTGCGGTTTCCGTATACATTTTCATATATACATACTTTAATTTTTACAGGTTCGTATTTGGTCACTGTGACATTTGCCCTTTTACCACTGAAACATAACCATTTCATCTTTTAGTCCAAGTGACAACTGATCCAAGGTGAAGAAATTAATTTAAGAGATATTCTCCTGTCACTGCCTTCGAGGAATGTTGTAGCGGTCTGCTTCAGGCAGGTCTGTATGGAGGTCAATGAAGAGAATTGTTGAATAGAGAATGTCTCCCTGGCTGGGAAACAGAGAAAATGGATGCACTTCTACAGTAGAGGTTGAAAGAGAGAGCTTGGAGAGGAGTGAGAGCAGAGGGGGAGCTGCCCTTTTATGCAACCTGGTAACATCAAAGCCAGTGAATCTTCACATGTCTCACTTGATTCAATGCATCTCAATGTATCAGGTCAATTTTCTACATTACTGCACATGGCTCTGATTATAGCATTGACAGCGCCACAGCATTGAGGCGCATTACACAGCGCTAATCAACAAGAGATTCTGTTCACTTAAATGTACAGCTGCTAAAATAAAATATATTTGTATTTGAGACAAAGGAGAAATGTGGTCAGGATTGATGTGCACATGTAGGCCTGTCTATTGTTTACCAATAGTAGGTCCAAAAATCTGGTTTACAGAATAATATCAAAAAAACTGTATCATACCCATTTATTAAACGAGAAAGAATTACAGCTCTCTCCGATTAATTGCTTTAGTGTATGTGCGTGTGTGGGCGTGTGTGCGTGTGTGTGTGTGTGTGTGTGTGGGTGTGTGTGTCCGTCGGTCCGTGTGTGTGTGTGTGCTGTTGGCAACCTACATGCAACAATTTCCTGCTCATCCTTGTCTTGTTGAGCCAGTATAGCAGCCACTTCTTCCACTGGACGCTCTCTCATTGGTTCTGATGCTGTAGGTGACTCTGTGTCAGGGTAAACTGCTGTCTCTGGGGTATCCTGATGGTGATGGCAATCCTTGCACTCCTCTGAAGAAGATATGCACACTCTATGACACATTCTATTCACTTTTCTAGCATACAGTTCACCACAGGGAGGCTGGGTGTTTGGTTTTTTGTTTTGTGTGTTATGATTGTTAGCCTGAAACCCTTTTAAAGCTATAGTTCACAGAAAAATGAAAATTCACTCTATCTACTCACCACTATGCTGATGGAATGGTTAGGGTTAGTGTTTGAGTCCACAAAACACTTAATAAAAAAACAGAAAAAAAACAACATGCCTCCATACTGCTCGTGTGGTGTCATCCAAGTGCCTGCAAGCCCCAACATTTATATTCAACTCGAAATTATGTCATTTCCACTGTGTTTTAAGCTTAAAAGTCCACCAGAAGAGGCTAAGCTAGCAGACAGCACGTCCAATGGTCCGCGAACACACCTCGTAGGAAGATATCAGCAGACATTCAGGCTAAAAACATGGTGTAAATGACCTTGTGTCGAGTGGAATATGAATGTCAGGCTTGTGGAGACTTGGCTGAGTTCACACGAGCAGTATGGAGACATGGTATGTTTTTTCAGTTGTTTTATTACATCTAAAGTCGAGGTCACCATTGACTTCAATTGCATTGGATTCTGCTGCAACAAAGTTTACTTCTGAGACTACTAAAGTGTTTTGTGAGTATGTTAGGTATCAAAGTACCCAGTGGTGGAGAGGTGTTACCTTTTACTGTTGGTGCCTCTGTATCACATGGAGCAGGGACTGATGGGACCTCACTGATGGCGGAGATGATATGAGTTGCCTCTGCTGAAGCCTCTGGATGGGAGAAAAATACCACACAGGCATGTTTGGTTGGATGTACATGATCATGTGTGCCAACACTCACTAGACTTATTTGGCTGAAAGATTTTACAACCCCAAATCAAAAAAAGTTGGGACAGTACGGAAAATACAAAAACAAAAGTTAAATGTAAGATTTCGTCCGAACGTTTTCTGATTTGGGGTTGTAGATGATGATGCACAAACTCTTGAGAGGAATTTAACAAATATAAAAACACAATTTTGGTCCTGTTCAGTTGTTAAATGACAAAAGGTCAAAGAAGAAAAGGAGAGATGTTATGTTCCCAGAATCAAAGACTATCAACTGGTCTCGTCACAAAAGAAAATCAAACTACATCTATTTTCTGTAATAACAGCTAAGTCTACAGATATCACTGCATTACAATGTAATGCCCTGAGAGCTGGAAAACGAATTTAGGCCACACATGAAAGGAAGTCATACAGGGCTGTAACCAAGGCTGGACTGGTGATTTGATATAATGTTGTAAAATAAAATAATGTTGTAAAATAAAATTATTTATTTTACAACACTGTCCCCATAAAGCAGGGACAGGGGCCCATTCGTTAATTTTCTATACTGACACTGGGCTGGCCCAATCACTTCTCTTACACTTATCACTTCCCCCTGTGTCCGAGCCATAGGTCTGTGGATTAAGCAGGGCACCAGAGTGGATACACAAAAGGGCACTGCATCAAATTATATGTAGGGGAAATCCCCCCTAAATAATAATGGAATTTCAGAATCTTAATTTTGAAATGCAATATGCAAAATGTTGCCCTGAACTGTTACATCTCCAAGGTCTAGTGAAACAACACAGCAGCACAGCTTTCTATAGGGAGGCTACAGCATTACAGAGGACAGACAGAAAACAGCTTACCATGAGACAACTCTGTGGACACAAAAGACAATGCAAATGAAACAAAGCTAAGCATTAACACTATAACACATTCCTCATTTGGATGAACAGAGCCGTCAAATATGCCAAAATCTTCTGCAGATGTTTAAACTGAGTTGAGCTCACATGCACACATTTATTTATAGAGTCACAGCTGTTTTTCACATTGCTGGCCATCAGGGGCAAGCTTAAGTGTTTTGCCCAAGCTCTTGAGGCCTTAACTTAGAAAAGTGAAAGGTTCTTTTACCACTTGCTGTTCCCTCTCAAAAAGGTCCACAAATGTATCAATTTTTACAATATGGCTTATGGTTAGCCACTTATTTGTAGTGGGGTGAGGGTGCTATCACCACATTGAAAAATAGGCCAGTGCTACTATGTCGACATACAGTAGGGAGGTGGCACAATGAAATGAATGACAACAGCAGTCACCTCAAAAAAACTGCCTTATAAAAAGTTACCCTCTAAGCTCTGTGCAGGCTGTGTTGGGGCAGGACTCACTGCATCCTCCTTCACCCTTTTCTCTGACTTGGCTTTGGATGTCTTCACCTGTTTTTCCATCATAGAGGGTGCCTGGGCCATCTCCATCTAAACAGCAAAAACAGTAGCCATTTTAACAGAGGCCTGACATTCTTAAACCACAAATAATCAGTTCACCTCTATCATCTTTTATTTGTTGTACATTTTCCCAGGAAAATCAATTATTGTTCAACAGTTATGTATCCAGAAAATGATGCAACTTCACACTGTTTAATATTGAAGAAAACAGTATTGCTCATTTCTTGAATGTACACAAAATGTAAGATCCAAGGAGAAATGATCTGAAGCTCTTTATGCAAATCTGCTATTTACATGATGTGGTGGGATTTGAAAAATATAATTGAACTACTACTGAGTTCTGATATCTAGCCTTGCTCAGAAATTGATTTTGACTGATCAAATGAGGAAGAGAAAACAGCTACAATATTGCATAAGAAGGCTATGAATCCATCCTGTCCCAAGACTGCACAGATCCTGACCTGTTTCTTGACTGGGAGGCCACCATCCTGTGATACAGGTCCCAAAGCCAGACCCAACAGCCAGTCGGAGTATGGAACATTGTTCTCTATGGCGGCTCTGAATTTGTGGTCCCATTTGGCGTAAAGTATCGTACCTCCAATGCCACCACCTACTGTCACCAGGCCAGCGGCAACCACTTTAGCAGCACCACTGTGACAGAAGAGGAGAACAAAGGATAGACATGAATCTTAAGTGACCATTTCTCACATTATCAAACGTGATGCACAAGGTCTTTGTGTGTGTGTGTGTGTGTGTGTGTGTGTGTGTGTGTGTATGTATGTGTTACCTGGTTTCTCCTGCTGTGTAATGTCGGCAGTGTTGCAGATTGTTTAGAGGGGTTCTCCCACAGTTCTTCTTAACAGTGGGAAAAAGAGGTACAAGGAGAATCGGGGAGAGAGAAAAATCAAAAAGTTATTTCCACTTTTCTTCATACATTCTGACAAAAAGAAAAATCTATATGTGTGCGAGAGGAACATTTACACATACATATAAAAGTAACTGCATAGCAAACAGTTTGCTGCCAGAAATAGCATCTGTTTTTCAGATAATTTAGTACAGTATACTGATTCGTAAAGGGTAATGTACAAAATGTTCCAGAGACAGCCTACCATCTGTGTAGTAATCAGCACAAACGGCTGTGAAATGGTGCTTTGCAGGAAAGAATGAAGCATCTTTTATTTTCTCCAAGTAAGGAATCTCACATCTTTCTAAACTGTGAAATAGGTAGAGTCGCAGTGTGGCAGACATTGTCATGTTTAAGCGTTCAATGAATGTAATTTCTCCATTGTAAAGTACTTTCTGTATTTCCTGTATGAAAAGACACTATACAAACAAAGAGTATTGTTGGTACTATTATTATTATTGTTGTTGTGTGTGCTGGGTCAGTGGGGAGTTTCTGCTCTACTGGCTGCACTAGAGCTGCTAAGATGACTCAAACAGTGTCCAAATCCCGCTTCCGCAAAATCCATCCATTGTTATAATAGTTATCAAAACGTCACAATGTAATAACCAGCACGTGTTATTACTTTAAGCACACAAACCTTTATTTAATATAGTCATCATATTACATGCAGGTCATCAGCAGCACTGACTCCATATTACAAATATTTATATAAGATAAAAATGACACAAATTTTCAAAGATTCAGTTTGGTCTGAACAAAATCTGAGGCGGGGCTGCAAAAACCTGACCCGCTCAGACACACAGTGACCCAGCAATGATGCTAACTATGTAAGAAATGTCCCCCTACATCTGTTCCTCACATGAGGCAAGACATGTGAGGGCGCTTTAAGTGCCAGTCTGAGGGGGACATGGACATAGCGCTATTATATGTGTACACGTCGTCTGCTCTTTTACTGACACACACTAACATTACAAATATATTTTAGAAAAAAGAGAGGTTGACATCCTCCATCCACCCACCCGTTAGCTTAGCCATCTGTCACTGGAAGCTAATAGCTAGCTCTGGCATTGTGTTCTCTCCTCAAGACACAGTCAGTGCAGAGTGGCGTTATTAATGCGGTCCAAAGTTAATCGAATGTTGGTGTAATGTTGGTCTAACGTTAGCTGGGCTCGGTTTGTCCAGGCCTGGTCACTGTGAGCCGCCGTGGCACCTTGAGCCAGGCTGTGGGTCACTGAATGACAACACGCTAATGCCAACATGGTGCTCAGTGTTGCTCCGCAGAGGTGGGCTGCGCGTCTTACCCAGGCTGTAGCATTAGCTCCTCTCAGACAAGCCCTCAGCATGGTCCTCTGTAGTTTTAGTCACAATGTGTTATCGACTGAGCCAGAACAGCTTGTCTCCTCTGTTTCTCTTATCGCTCGCTTCTTACTCTTCTTCTACTCTCGGTTTACTTCTTCTTCTTCTTCTTCTTTCCGTCACACTACGCACAATGTACTGCATTGCTGGCTCCCACCGGTAGGGGAAAGTCACTGCAGTTTATGCCCCCAAAACTAAGATCTTACGACAGTTTTAAGGAAGTACAACTCTTCCCTAACGCTCTCCTACTTATACATCCTATCGCCAAGCAGTGTTTTTACCGAGGTTTAATCCTTGCCTCTTGCTATAAATAGCTCCCTACTTTGTTTGGCATAGAGTGAGCAATGCAGCACAACATGTTGTACAGACTCCAGGACTCCGTAGTTGTCACAGTTGCCATCTCTGTGTTTCCTCACAAGCAACACATGTTGTCATAGTAAGCAGGCACTAATGAAGAATACAGCAAGCATGAGGAGGCACCCAAGCATGTTTATGTCAATGTTATAACTATCTATATATTGTAATATATTATACTTATAACAATACATTATATACACATGTGCAGACACACACACATACACCGCCATATATATATATATATATATAGTGAATGTAATAATAATAATGTATGATATATTGAATGTTTATTTAATACAACAAATATTTCCCCAGGCAAATACCCCCCACATGCTAATAAAAACTAAAACAATGAAACTAATAAAAACTAGTTATTTCTGAAAATTAACAGTGCCTGGGACAGGGCCAACGATTATTAGTCTTCTGACAAGGTCTGGGCTTCCAAAGCAGACTTTATTCAACTGACTCCGGGCTCTTACTCCCTCATGTAGCTCCTTGTTTGTCCTTGTCGACAAGTCAAGAGCCACGTATGTCCAGCTCACTGAGAACATTCAAACAGGCCACAATAACAATGATGAAACAGAATTTACAGTTAGATATTTACTGATTATTTCACATCTATGCAGTTGCGTACATGGTAATTTATCTATAACTGTGTCTTGATCTTGACTCTTGTTATACTGTGCCACCTCTTGATATAAAGTTAACCCAAAGGTTAAGGTCTTGACCTTCGATGTAAAGTGCCTTGAGATAATGTATATTATGATTTGGCGCTATATATAAATACAATTGAATTGAATTAAAAGGTTTGACAGCCTCTGCAGAGGATCTCTGCAAAACTAAGTTACAACATTCTCCAGTTTTTATTTCACACATGCACAGCGGAAGATTCTTTGCTCAGAAGTGTACACAATGGCAACAAGTTCTCTGCAAGATACAGGTGATGGGTGGAGCAGCAGACAGAGACTAGGTGTAACATAAATTTTGCTGCAACGATCACGTGTTATTGTTTACAGCACATCCACATTAGCTGTTATCACCACAACCTCTTCTGGATTAATTTGTGTGACTCTGGCTTTTTGATCATGAGATACATTTTCTTTTTTGTATTGACTTCTGCAGATTTCAGACAAGGGGGACAGGTAGAAAATGTCCGCAGAAACCCAAGATGCTCTCACTCAGACATTTTGCACTTTCTGGAGAACATGTTCAGTCTGTTCTTGGTTACATAAGCGTTTGCCAAACGGAGACCTCGTAGGTCAAAATGTTAACAGTGCAAGTAGGTTTGTAAAACCTCTTAAACAAGGCTTCATCCTCAAATTATAGCTGAAACCTGGTCTTTTAATGCAGTTTGTTATTTTAAACTGAGAGTGCAAGAAGCTCAGAGCCTGAGGAACAAAATATGCAGAATAGCCCAAATACACATGGACTGTATACATGCTACATTTATGTTATAGAGCATTCATCAACTTTAATAAACCTTAATGTACCCCCTGGAATCCCTCCGTGGCTTTGCGTCCAAAATGTTCAGTCATGTCAAGACACAGGTAACAACCATCAAAGTCCTTCTCCTAAAAGACGAGACAATTCAGTTTTCTTTTTTTATTGGAAAGACTTCACATTAAAGGAAAAAGCCATACGAAACATAGCAACATTTGTATTAAAAAAGAAAGAACGCAATGTAAATACAAACCAAAGCCCAGTATCACTGAAGTAACTCACCATTTAAAATTCTACATGAAAAATAATCTTGTAAATATGAATCAATAAAAGGAAAATACTTTACTTTTGGTTTACCCATTTTCTTTTAAATATACAGAGACCCTTCAGAGTTCAGTTCATTCCTATGTATTCTTGCTTTCTATTTACCAGGTACATGCAGGGAGTTTCTGGATGTCTGCAGAACCACACATCAGTGATACAGATGTTTTTGTAAAGAACAAATCCTAAACCATGGGAAGCTTGGTTTAACATGCAACTGGAAAGTGAAACCATAAAAAACAACACCCTGAGCAGATAATCTTTGAAAGACCATATGAGTTAAGAAGCACTAGTTCATATTGAAAGACAATGCTAACTTTACATTGCTGAACCACCAACACCAACCACCTGAGACATGGAATAGTGACGCTGTGTGTGGCACTGCCACAGGTGGTGGTACCACATCCAAACCAATGGAGATGTGTGTGACCATGTATGTTTGGAGAGGGGCAGGATGATGAGCTACACCTTGTCAAGCTCCTCTGTAGTTTCTGTCTTCTGGATTTTTACTGGGGTACCCAAACAGTCGTCACCCTGAGCAAAAGAGCAAAAGCAACAGAAACACTCATTATTTCTCTTGCTTTCAGTCAGGTTCTCTACTTTAGCCCAACATCACTGATTTCTGCCGACATATAAAGATACAGTAGATAAAAATACATTATTTAGTACTGAAAACAACTATAACCATATATTTTGAGGTTTTTGCATGTTCGGATAATCTGCAGAGACCTGATGAAAAGAACCTATGAGGAGACCCATCAAATAAAGAGTACTACAATTCACTTTCAACAATTATAGTGCTTAATTATGTGCATCTACTGAGGAGAAGTAATCAATCTCACCTCCAGTGAATGGCTGTGTGAGGTGAGAGAGGTTGAGACATTCTGGGAGTCTGAAAGGTTTGGAAAGTCCAGCTCAATGTCCATGATGTCGTCAAGGCCCAACTCCTCACTGAAAGAACAGATGTCAAGAAACATAAACCATAAGCTGATCAAGACAGTGGACAATTGGGCTTATGGGCTTAAAGTGAGTTGTATCTTGCTTTAGTTCAAACATTTTTAAAACTGAAACGATTAATTGAAGATACCATGTAATGCAGTTCTCTCTCCCATGAGAACTGAAAAATGTAAAATTCTCATTATCTACTCACCACTATGCAGATGGAGGGGTGGGTGAAGTGTTCAAACCCACAAAACACAACAGGAGTTTTGGGGGAAAACAAGAAAAAAAAACATGCTTCCATACTGCTTGTGTGGTGTCATCCGACATTCATAGCCAACTTAAAACAAAGTCATTTACACATTTTTAAGCCTAAAAGTCCACTACCGGAAGTAGCAAAGGTAGCGGACGTAGCCACATGTACACGCACCCAACGCTTGCCCTTGAATCGTGTGCGGTGTTCAAGTGTGCCCATGCACACATGAACCTTCCTCCAAGGAGGCTATCAAAGGACACTTGAAACATGGTGTAAATGACGCTGTTTCGTCAAATATGAACGTCGGGTTTGCGGACACTCGGATGAGACCACACAAGCAGTATTGAGGCACGTTACGTTTTTTTTCCATTGCGTCTGAAGAGTTTGCGATCGACTTAATGCAGCTGCAACACTGTTTACCCGAGACATGAGAAGTGATCTGTGGACTCAAACACTTCACCCAAACTCTCTGTCTGGATAGTGGCGAGTAGACAATGACTACAATAAAAATTTTCTATGAACTTTCCTTTTCAACAACTCATTGTGGATAGGTAAATAATTGTTAGTTGGAGTCCTAATTTTCCTACATGTTATCGAGGACTTTATCTTGGCAGTCCACTGTTGGGGGGTCCCAGGCGTGCAATTTGACCTTCCAAAGTTTTATCTGCTGATCCCACGAGCGACGACTGTACTTCCTGAACTTATTGGGGGTCTTTGGGTGAACACCCGGCTGGCGCATGTGTCTGGAAACAAAAAAGAAAAGACAATACATTGGAAACAGATGGGCTCAAATTGTAATCATTTATTGAACATGAGACTTGTAAGAGCAACATGTGAATGCAGATAGGTGCCAGCAGTTGGACCATCAATTCATTCTGCAGTAACCCTCTCTGCACAAGCATTACTTTGAAATACTTTTCCCAAGCATTACTGTCTGATCCCCACAGAGAACTGATCTCAAAAATCATAGAGCCAGTGTGCAATTTCATCAAGACAGACAAAACAATAAGATGTTCTGAACAACCAAACTGCCAAGTACCTAGACTGAGCAGGTGAACTGAGGAGAACAGGCGCTGGTTTAAAGACAAATGAGGGTCACATCAAATACTGATCTGATTCAGTTATTTAGTCTTGCGGTTGAAAATGTGCTTTCTTAACTGTAAACATCAAAGACCAGTGATTTAGGTAAGAACTTATAAGACACTTGTCTGAGTAAAACCAAACATTGATATCTTTTAACTCTTATTTTAACTTTGTTTGAACTTCATGGAGAAATAAATGATTATATATATATATATATATATATATATATATATATATATATATATATAATACACTTCAGACAGGGCATCTATGTACAGCATTTTCACATATCAGTGTGTGATCACTGGTCAATTTGGCTTTAAATGTCTTGTAGGGCTGCACGATATATCGAAGATGTAATTTCATGGCAATATATATACAAAAGATGGCTTGAACTGTGATAAATAGTGTTCCATGTGCCATGTATTCACACTCTGCATGTCAATAAATCAGATGGAGCCCTGCTGCCCTAGATAATAAATTTAAGATATTCAGATCATTGACAGGTTTTTCCTTCAATGAATCACTGTCGGAAGAAGAGAATAAAAAGAACAGAGAATTGCGAAGTGGCTCCGTCAAATCTGACTCCTCCTTCTCCAGACTAAATTCTATTGAAGAAACTTCTAGTGATCGCACTTGCCTCTGGGTCAAATTCATCACTATGAGCGTTATTTATATAAAAGAAACGTGTAACTTATTTGTGACAGTCCTAGAACCAAAGGGAAAAGTATACAAAAACGCATGCACGCTTTTTATTTTTTAAATGACCCTCACTGTTAAGTACAACTTTTGACAGAGATGTGTTCATGATAGTCTCAGAATTGTATTAATTAAGGGTGTATGTTTGTGTGAACTTACTTTGGAACTTCCTTGATGTATCGGTCATAAGCCAATGTGTTCTTTCCATAGTTGATCTGTTTCTGCCGCCGTAACAACACAGCCTCATCTGTCTCCATGTTTTCTCCCTCTCTGGAGTCACAGCTGCAGCAGACAGATAGGCTTGAGCATATTAACACATACAGACTGAAAGTATAAAGATGATTTCGTTGTGAATGGAACCACTAAATAGCAGCCTGCTTTCGCAATTGAAAAAGATCTGAAACATCTGCGAAGGTTTCATAAGGCCCGTGATAAGGAAAAGTAAAGGGTTGCATTTTAGTTGTGTGTACCCTGCCACACACAACATGAGATGGGAAGCACACAGCCAAGGACCTTAAAGTGACTGCAATGATCCAGATTCAAGATCCAACACCATCTATTAATAAATGTGTCAGTTTGTGTGTGAGGAGAAACACAGACAGCAGAGTTCTTCCAGCAGATTATGGCACTTATGCAGAGATTGTTTTAGTGTTAAAAGTAAAATGTATCAGTGTAGATGGAGCCTCAATTCTGCTTCTCTGGCCACTGTCTTGCAAGGCTAAGACACTTAATGCAGATTATATTCCACTTCATGTGGAAACAATAAATCTGACTTGAAAATAGAACATATCTTTGTGGCTGAGCTGTTCCAACAGTGCAATTGTAATGTGTAACAGCTTCCCAACTCTACACATTTATTATTATGGCCTTTACTGTATCAGTACTGTATTTAGTGAAACCAGTAACTGTTTCATCCCTAATACAGTCTATAGCATGTAACAGTGTTCTCAAGCCAATCATTTATCAGTAAAGGAAGAGTATAATGGTGAGAAAAAGACTACATCAGAGGTGACATACCTCCCAGAAGAGCCAGAGGAGGTCTTCCTCTCTCTCTGGGTGACCTCTGCACCCAGAATCTTCCTCCTGTAACTGAACACAATGCACATGTCAGTGATGCTTAGAACTAGTGCTTTAAACTAATAAGATAAAACCACTTAAACAAAAGCAGGAAGGCTACCGCTGTATGTCTCTCTGTACATCCCTCCTCATCTCATCATTCTCCACCTGGCTGCCCCAGTCAGCATCTCTACCACAGCGAGACACCGGGCCCGCACTCTCTGGGGTGGTGAAACTAGGGAGGAAACAGAAGAGAAAAATATCAGCATAAACACTGCAGGAATTTCAACAGCTAATATGGTTACGTAATGAACTGTGGTCATAACTTGTTGATCTAGTGACTCAATGTTCCATTTTAGAATTGGATCTAAAAATGTTTTCCCCTTTATAGGCAGAAATGGGCATTAGCTAGTTTACACATTATTACTGATGACACCTGAAGCTTCATGCATAATAATGATTTTCCTGTATTTGTATAGCACCTTTCACAAAAGAAATGTGGCTTATAGTGCTTTACATACAATATAGGTACAAATCAAAACATGTTCAAATGTAATACAAAATAGAAGAGAACTGATTTTAAAAGATATAACATGTTAAAAGAAGTCAAGTGATAAAAAATATAAGTGCAGAAGTGCCATCGAGTGCAAGATCAAAGACAAATTTTTTCTTTTTAAGACATTTACTGAACTAGCTTCTCTGATATCTAGCGGCAGTCTGTTCCGCAACTTTTACAACTGTTACACAAGCTGCATCTCCTATTTTCTTTCAGCTGTTGTTGAGAACCGTACTGTTCTAGAATAGAGAGTCTGCTATGTTACTCAGTCCACGTCCATTCAGAGCCATGCATGCAATGCGAACCTTAAAGCCAATCCTACAGGCAACCAGTGCAGAGCAGCTACAACTGAACTAATGTGTTCTCTTCTTTTGGTTCTGGTTAACAGCCGAGCTGCATAATTGTGAGTGACTTGGAGTCTCTCCATTATTTTCTTTGGGAGGCCTGTTAAAATGTTGGGACAGTAATCCAGTCTGCTACAAATTAAGGCATGAATCAGCTTTTCAGCATCTGTCTGATTTTGACATTGATGTGCACATTTTTGGCACGAGGAGAATCACTGAAAAACAGGAACCATTTTCAGACATAACCTGAGGGAAAGTCCAGAGAATTGGGTAAGGACTTCATCCACAGTTTGCTTTTCACACATGCACAACACAGCGAGAGGTTTTCTGCACAGACGTGTTCAAAACAACAACAAATAATGCTCTGAATTATTCAGGTGAGCAGAGGTGTAGCTGGATGCAGATGACAGAGGCAGGGAGTAACTTATTAATTTGTCTGCAGGGATCACGTGATTTACTTTACAACACACAGACACCAGTGTATGCTCTCATCACAAGCTCTCTTGACATCTTCGCCTGTGTCTTCTGTGTCACCGCCTTTTCACCAGGATATATTTGTTTTCTTTTAGTTTTTTTTCATCTGTCCGTGTTCTCACAACTTTCATACTGGGGGGGAGACAAAGAAAATTTGCAGATAACCTGGAGCCTCTCGCTCAGACTTTTGCATTCACACGTGCACCTCTTTCGATAAAATATGGAGGATTTGCAGAGTTCAGTGCGTGTCTGAAAGCAGCTTCGGAGAAGCAGATTTCAAAGTCTAAATTAATAAGATTCAGTGAGTCCATTCATTTGAGAACAGTTCCACCTGATACCAAGTAAGAATATAATGCAGTCAACATGAAGTTGATACACGGGCCCCAAATAACTTCAATAAGGTACAAACATTTTTACGTGTGTATCTTATGTAAGTGTGTAGACATAACAGCACTTCCACAAATATATGATAATCTTCTTTTGTAGGCATATACTCTTACCTGGCATGTCTGTTGTCGGAGTTTATGTGCCGGCTGTTTTCCCTGTCACTACCTTCTGCCTCTCTGTTGGCCCGCAGGTTTCCATCGATCCCTCTCTTCCTGCAGTGGGACCCTCGAGACGGGCCAGTGGTCCTATGCAGGCAAGACACAAGACAATTCTGGATTTAAACAAACAGTTATTTGTTCTGCAACCTTCTACAGCTCTTCTTTACACACACACATGTCTCAAGAGAACACTTCTAGGCAGGGTTATATGGTTGGTAATCACACCAAAACTACACAGTAAAAGTACCTCTATTAGACGTCAATTGACTTTAAGTCACAGGTGTGGGACTTAGAACTTGATGTTTCTCTAAACTGATCAACTGTTTAGTGATGCCTGGAGCTTACCGGCTGCGGAACAGCCGTGGTTGTTCAGCCGCGGAGAGAGACACGACTGCCCATTGCCTGAAGTTCTTTAGGTGATATAACTACAGCCTTTGAGGTTCTGCTGTATATCCTTGAGTAAAAGTAGTTGTGTACTCAAATAAATAGCAGTAGTATACAGTATGAAGCTGTGAATATTCAGCTCCTGCTAATATTTCACAATAAAGACCTTTTAAAAAAAAAAGAATGGATTCAGGCAACAAAAACGGGTAGGATACATGAATATGTATGTTGGTGACATATTCAACCGATTAAGTCAAGATAATATTTGATTATGTTGTGAAAAAAAATTGTGCTGAAAGATCATTCTGTCTGTCTATTCTGCTGTGAATCGCGCGCAGAACGCGGGAAAAAGAATCGGCCAGACGACTTTAGCGGCTGAACAGCAGCCGGTGTCCCAGCTGTCGTTTGTTGAGTGCTTGCTCTTTGTTACAAATGCTGGGGTTCTCTAAGGTTAAAGGTCTCGAACTTAGTACGTAAAGTGCCTTGAGATGGCTCTTGTCAGCTGCTCTGGGCCGCATCATCACGTACCATAAAGGACTGAATATGGGCGCACTCGCGCTCTGGGGGGTGCTGGTTTGACCGCTGTTTGTAAGTGCCAGTTTCTGGTTTCATTAGGTCCACATGAAGCTTAACTGTCAACACTTCTATGCATGAGGTACGATCATTGAATGTGGTCAGACTACGAGTGATGCTAGTAATGAGAAATGGCTGCCCCCGTTCCCGTTGACTGTTGCTGAACAATATTCACCAGGGCTGTGGTGATCAGATATTAATGTGAAAATCTGCCCTGGTATCACTGCTCTTTAAAGATCCACTGTGCTTTACATTAGTCTGTTTGTCCGCATACGTATAGAGTATTTTGAAATCATTGGTTTAAGTCATTCTCCCGCCAACCACTTCCGATTGTTCTGGCTGTCTCTGTGTGTTCCTCCTTCATCCCACAGAGCGTCTCGGGCCTGTGTGCTGGAAGGATTGGCGTGTGACTGAGGCCTAACCGTCACAACTAGAGATTTGTCCCGAATAGACACTGTCGGCAATACCCTCTCGTACGGCCGTCGCTTCAGTGCGGCGAACACTTGGAGACCGTTCACCACCACATATCTTCTTTACCCGAACACCAAACTCTACTAAATGGCTGTTAGCTCAGCCACTACACGAAGCTAACACAAAGGCTGACGCGGCACAGAACAAGTGACACCCTCTCACATTACTGACACGTTCTCAGGCGAGACGTGCTCCTCTCAACTTAACAAAGGGCAGCACGGCGGCAGCTCGCAGCGATAGTGATACACACACACAGCGGCTAAAACTACATTAAAGCGTACCTTTCGTCGTGTTGGCTGCTGTGAGCATCCCGTCGTCTTCCATCCGTCCACGCAGACATGTTGTATATACTAATGAGTATCAGTTGAATGTGTCCGCGGTGCGGGAGACTCTTCTGTGTATCGAACGACGTTACTATCGCTTGCCAACACTGAAAAACCCGCGTCCGCGAACGATCCAGCGGGTCATGTGACCGGAAGAAGGGGGCACAAATGCAAATCAAGAGGCGCCTTTCTTCTTCTTCTTCTTCTTCCTCCTCCTCTTCTTCTTCTTCTTCTTCAATGATGATGATGTTTAATGGCGGTTGGCCAACAACTTACGGGTGCATTACCGCCACCGTCTGGAAAAGAGTGTGAGTCAGAATGGATACGAGCCATGCAGTACAGTCCATGATGTTAAAGTATATTCTGTGATAGAGTCCTGTGTTTTTTAGAAACCTGAATATCGCCCTATATCCTGCATCACCTGAGTCTCTCTGTAGTGTTTCTCCAAGACTTAATGTTAATTGTTACTTTGGAGTGAGTTTCTAAGTGTCTGTCTCTGTCGATGGTACTGTGGACAGACTAAAAATGAATGTTACACTTTTTTCTGCTGATTACAACTGTCACATGTGCCTGTGTCATGCACTGTGGGTGAACGTAGTGTGCAGCATGAATGCTTCTCTGAATTCTGATTCTTAAGTTCCGTTAAATGCCTCATTTGGTTTGTAATGTATACTTGTACACTTCAACAAAGTTCTTCAGATGTGCAAAACTAAAAGCAAAAAACTGAAAAATGGACCAGTACGCACCCCAGGTTGGTCTAGATTTTTTAGCATTGATGGTCAAACTTTGCATCTCTGATGGGGCACTGTCACAAGCAAGACACTACATATATAAAAAGGAAAAACTAATGAAATGTGGAGTGGGAGTTTTGAATCTTATAACTCTATTCAATGCTCTGACACACACCCCAGTAGGTGGTGGTAATGCACCTTAAATGCTACATGCCACCCGCCTACAAACAAAGAAGAAGAGTCGCCTGCAACGCAAGAGGAAGTGTTGGGTTCTTCATCCATGGCAGGAATAGTAAACAGTATGGTCGTTCGGTGGTAGTCAGCAATAAACAGACCAAGTATGGAGAGTCCGGAGTTAAGTTTTACTTTGGCCTACATCGTATTCTGTCTGTGCTTCGTGTTCACGCCCAACGAGTTCCGCTCGGCCGGTTTGACCATCCAGAACCTGTTCTCGTCCTGGCTGGGGAGCGAGGATGTGGCATTTGTCCAGTTCCACATCCGGAGGACCAGTGTCACCATGCTGGTCCACTCCGCCCTACCGTTAGGTAAAACATGGCAGTCTCTATCTTTCATACAATGTTCATGCTGAAGTAAACCAGCCCAGTGTAGCAGCGGTGGACGCGGTATGAGGTGAGCAGGTGGGTCTACATCCCTCCCGCAGCAGATGGCGCTGACGTGGCGCAGACTAGTTCCAGGACACCCTTCAACACACTGGGGGTGGGCGGTACACCGGTGTCATAGTCATCACCGTTGTAATATTGCACCAGAACATGGATAGATCATTTTCACGGCAGCCATTTCATCATCATTTATATGTTTAGAACTTCGGGAGACTCATTGAGGGGAACCCTAATTTTCAATGGTACATTTAAATAATAAAAATAAACGGCGCATGGTTATACCAATTAAAGTTAAAATGAAAGTACAATGGTAAAAAGTAAAAGTGTAGGAATGATACAAAAAATTCATAGTGAAATAAAAATAAAACCAGTAGTTAAATTAAAAGCAGTAACAGTTACAATCAATAGTATTGTCATTTATTTCTCAGAATTGCCTCAATGGTATTAATGAAGTCAACTTGAAGTCTCTTCCAATTGTGTGGAATACAGTTAGAAAAAGCAAGTTTTCCAAACTGTGGATGTTATTAAGCCATGTTTGTGACAGTTAAAAGACAGGTGTTACTAGTCACATTCATTAAGCTTGTGCTCTATTTAGATATAGTCTTAATTAATATGATTAGTAACCTGTGGTTAGGAAAGCTGTGGCGATTCTTGAACCCAAACAGAAATCGTGGTGCAGACGTCCATGCTTTCAGCTCACGATACACAAAGACAGAACCTCCACATACTGCCACAGCAGCAGGTGCAGTCTATTGTGTGTGTGCAAAAAAAAAACCCTGCATAATCTGAACCAACACACAGAAGTGACAAGTATCTTCAGAGCAATGACTGCAGAGTTTAGAGAGGATCATCTGTTTTCCTTTGGAAGAGTATGTTGTAAAGTCGCCGTGTTGTCGCCACTCCGGCACAAGACACCTCGTCTCAGAAATCCAAGTCTGGTGGATTGTTTAATCCTTATGGAGATTTCCTGGAGCTGCCAACCGGCTTATGCCCGACTGACTGACCGACTTGACCATCAGCGGTACTGTGAGTGCTCTGTACATATTGTATATAGTGACGCTGTTGTTATTGAAGCAACACGGACAGTTCTCTTTCTGTTGACAGCAGTTAAACCCTGGAACTGATCATTTTTGTTGCATCTGTTTTTCATTGTTTGAACTGGATTGAACTAAACTATGTTGGGCTTGTGAGGGAGACTGAAAAAGTCGTAAATTTACAGATTGAACTCTGGATGTTGAGACTGTGGGAGACCAACACACACACACACACACACACACACACACCTCTTTCCTATTCTTTGGTTGTTTTTGTTTACGTAGCTTTATATGAAGTCAAGTCCAACATGTTCTTTAGTGTTCTCTTTACTGTTCCAAATATTGGTGTTTTAATGAAACCCAGAAATGTTCCCCCCGTTCTTTCTTACGCACCCACTACACTCCCCCTCAACTTACTGAGGTATGAACCGAACCATGATTCAAAGACATAAGTCCAAAACCGAACGGTGGACTTGGAGTATACCCTAGTGGCTACCTATTTCATGTCAAAATGTCTGCTGTGAAAAGGGTGTATTGTGATATACCTTCATCACATTGATAAATTAACAGCCTAGTTATATTTAAAAGTATCACATAGTCACTAAAACAGCTGCTGCCTTCGTGCAAGATTCATGGTGAAAAGGAGCAAAACCCAACCATCCCAGTACAGACACAAGTTCTCACCCCTCTGGCTTTATTAGCCATCAGGTATGTGTTTAATATGAATAAAACTGCATATCAACCTACCGCTCCTCTGCTCCCTTCACTGGTTATCAGTGGCTTCACTGGTTCCACTTCAAGACACTTGCACTTGTTAACCGCCAAAGTGATATTTAATGTAATGTATGTTATTTTTCGGCCTTTGTGCATGTACACTTTATTATGAATCCTATGCACTGTTTTAGACATAAGCGTTAAGTGTACATAGCTGCCTGGCCCTGGAGTGCTCTTTATGCTACAACCAGAACCTTAAAATTAATTCTGAATTTATTGGGAAGCCATTGTAAAGAATATGAAGAATGGGTTTTATATAGATCATCTTGCTGGACTTAACAACAGCAGGGTGGTTAAGCAAATACAATAATAATTGGTTAGAACAGTGGTTCCCAAACTTTTTCTGTCAAGCCCCCCTTTGATGATAAAGGAACATTGTGAATGTGAACAAAAATGGGTTTTAAAACATGACCAACTCCCTGAGAAGAAAAAAAAAAACCTAAAGATTTGTTGTGCAAAAGTGACACCTTTAATCCTCACATCTTTTCAGTGACTGGTGTGGGCCTGCTTCATGCTGCAGATCTTCTCAAATCTGGGTTGCAGTTTTGAGATTGCCACTCTGWGTTCATTTTCAATGTCCAGCTTTGATCTGTATTTTGTCTTGATTGAGGCCACAGCAGAAAAACCTATCTCACATAGGTAGGATGTGGCAAAAGGAAGAAGTATGGCCAGGGCTCTCTTACCTAGCAGTGGGTAATCTTTTTCCACTCCAATCCAAAATGCAGCCAGTGTCTTTGACTGAAACTGCAGCCTCATTGTTGAATCAGAGAATCAATTAACTGTTCCTCCTCTGATGTGCTGAAGTCGGCAGGTGGTGTTGCACTGAAGGGGTCACGGATCTAGTCATATTCTTTGGGATCCTGCATCAGGAAATATTTCTGGAAATGTTTCTGAAGGGCATAGATGTGTGCTTTCATGCATGGGGTCACTGTGTTCTGCAGTTTGTTGTCTTCAATGAATGATTTTAGGTTTTCAAATGAGTCCACATTTCCATCCTTCACTCGCTGCAGCCACATCTCAAGTTTTCTGGTGAATGATGTGATTTTATCTGCCAGATGTGGGAGGTGTGTATTTGTGCCCTGCAACTGCAAATTCACTTCATTGAGTTTCAGAAACATGTCACTGAGGTATGCAAGTTTCATGAGGAACTTGTTACAGTAAAATTTGTGGGCAAGATCATTGCCCTCTTCTTTCAAAAAGATGSYGATTTCATCTCGCAGTTCAAACACCCTGGACAGCACCTTCCCACGTGACAGCCATCGGGACTCGCTGTGAAATAGAACAGCTGTGTGGTCGGAGCCCATTTCCTCGCACAGTGCCGAAAACATCCGGGCTTTGACAGGTCATGTTTTAATGTAGTTGACAGTGGCAATGACGTCGTTCATTACATCATTCAGCTCGGGACTCAGCTGTTTAGATGCCAGTGCTTCGCGGTGTATCATGCAGTGCGTCCACTGCGCATTGGGGGAGACGCGCTTGATGAGTGCTTGCAGCCCTGCCCATTTCCCAGCCATAGCCTGCGCCCCGTCAGTGCAGATCCCCACACAGTCCTCCCATTTCAGGTTGGCCTCTTTCAAGTACGAGTCAATGATTTTAAACAGTTCTTCTGCTGTGGCTCTGCCGGTGACTTGTTTTCAGAAAAGCAATTCCTCCCTCATGTCATCTCCATCTATGAATCTGACGTAAGTAATCAATAAACAGTCTTTGTTACTGTCAGTGGCTTCATCCATCTGGAGTGAAAAGCGGCTGTCACGCACCTTGTCATTAAGCTGCTCTATGTCCTTTGACATGTCATAAATGCGCCTGCTGATGGTGTTGTTGGACAGAGGAATAGCCCTTAGTTTGCTGGCTGCAGTGTCATCAAGCATAGTTGAAACCATGTCCATAGCACAGGGAAGTATTAATTCCTCCACTATTGTGTGCGGCTTTTTACACTGTGCCACTCGGTAAGCAACTTTATATGAGGCGAGTTGAGCATTTGCCGGCACGGATGCAGCTTTAGTAAATAGGGACTGTTGAYCACYGCAGTTAACYAGTTTTT